TGTTTTACAGTATCACCACCATCCATCTACAGAATTTTTTTTTTTATCTTTCCAAACAGAAATTCTGTAACCATGGAACACTAACTCCCCATTCCTACTCCCCCAGCCCCTGGCCACCACTTTTACTTTCTGTCTCTATGAGTTTCACCACTTAACGGTGTGTCACAGAAGTGGAATCACACTGTATTTGTTCTTTTGTGTTGCGCTTATTGCACTTAGCATAATGCCTTCAAGATTCAGTAGTATTGTAGCCTGCATCAGAATTTCCTTTTGAAGGCTGAATAATATTCTGTTGTATGTATTTACCCCAAAATGAGCAAAAAAACACCCTTCGGAAAAAATAAATATTGGGCCACCTGGTGGCACGTCTGCCTTCGGTTCAGGTCATGATCTCAGGGTCCTGGGATGGAGCCCTGCACATCCCATTGGGAATCCCTGCTCAGTCTGCTTCTCCCTCTGCCCTTCCCCCAACTCATACTATCTCTTTCTCTCTCCTTCAAATAAATATTTTTTTTTCAAAAGAAAAATAATAAAAGTTCTCACAGAAAATCTTAGAAAGGTGTGTGTGTGTGTGTGTGTGTGTGTGTGTATTTATATGTACCTAGACATAAAAAATGCAACAATCTTGAAATGGTCAGGTATCTGCAAAACATTTCCTAACTCTCTGGGACTTGATCACTCCTATTAGAATTCTTCCATAATTCCTTTCAGTTTTTTCTCTTAAAGTACACCACACCATCACACATTAGATTATACTTGAAGTCCTGTAAAACCATCAACTTCTTCTGGATTGAAATTAAGTATTAGCCTTCTTTGTGTCTGCCCTAGCCTACGCCACAGGACTTGGCCCCAAACAAGCCATCAACCAGCAACTGGAATAAAGGAAAACAAAAAACAAAAAAAAACAAAAAAAAGAATCCTCATTATCTTCAGGATATCCTGGAAAATTATTTCCAGTTAATAAAGTTTCTTCTCATTAAGAAAACAACATTTGGCTGTAGGTTTGTCTAATAATTTACTTATGTATGGTTTATATTTCAAAGGAGATATCAAATTTTGTGAACAGTCACGTAACAATCATTAAATGCCAAGCACTATGCCAGGCACTTATGCAGATTCTACCATTTAAAGTAGGCATAGGCAATATTAAATACAGGATGTGTTGTTGCCATTTTATAGACAGGGCCATAGTGTTTAATTGCACAACAGGGCAAAAAGCGATGGAGTCTGAATTCCAGTCTGTCTGATGTCCAGATCTGTGTTGTTCACCCCACGTCTACTCTAGGTTTTGTTAGGGGTATTCGAAGAAGTCCGTGTGTTCACAGACTATGAGAAGTCAGGCAAGGTGTCAAATGTGGATTTTACGTTCACAGGCATCTTTCTACGCGTTTGGTTGCCTTTAAGAACTGTATTTGTGGGAGAAAACACATCAAGAACTGCCAAGAATCTGGTTGCCTACAGGCGCCCTCACCTTTGCAATCCAGAGAAGTGAAATGAGCATGGAAAGAAGATAGTTCAATAAGTAAGGATAGATTCAATATGGAAACCAAACTATTGATCCAAACAGTCTGAGGATACTTAAATATGCCCCTCCTTCAGCTGCTGACATGGAGTGGGACCTAGTACCTGATGACAACATGGGAGACAGACATCCTCAGTATGTGTTTGATGGAGGAGTGAATTGTTACAACCCTTTGGATAAGAAGTATGCAATATATATTGAAATAGGAAGTATCTGCGATTCAGTGGTCCCACCACTGGAAATCTCCTTGTGGATATAAAAGCATTATATGATAAAGATATGCACATAAGGATGTTTATTGCTGTGCTATAGGTTGTGATAAAAGCCTAGATCAATTTACATGTCGATCAATAATGGAACAAGTGGTTCTAGAGTAGGGTCATCTATTCTATGGAGTTAGCTGTTAAAAGACTGAGTTAGGTCTCTGCCAATTGACCTGGCCAGATAATACACTGTAAAGTGAATAAAGCAATGGTCTGGTAATATGTTAGAATTCATGTTAAAAAAAATACACCAAAAAAGCAAACTAGCTATGTTTTTATAAGTATAGATAAGGTTAGAGAGTGATACACAACTCAGGCAGTTAAACTGGTTACTGTAAGTGGAGTAGAAATTGGGAAGTGTAGGAAGAAACTTTCTGTCCATATGCTTTTTTTGGATTATGTCATTTGTTACAATGGCACACACTGCTTTTACAGTATGAAAGATTAATTGAGAAAACACATATTCTTCAAGTGATTTTTCATAAACAAAGATGATTAATCTTACAGTTTTAACTGCTTTAAGTGGTTATAAAAAGAAAAAATCCCCAAGATTGAGTCTTTTTCTAACTCTTCATCCAGCCTTGATTTTATCCGGTGAAGCGCCCATCTGCCTTCTTTTGGAATCTATATTTCTCACTGAAGTCTTACAAATGTGCTACAATAAGTACTACCAACAAAACCACATTTACATGATATTGCATCCCTGTGATACTTTCTGGCCTCGTACATATTGTAGTTTGTGATTAGTCTCTAATTATCGTATCTCTCTGTTTTAGGCAGATCCTGTGTGCAGTGACTGCTTTATTCCTGTTTTACCCTCAGCATCCTGTTACTCAGTCAGGAGAATGGTTTGCAGTTCTTGCCTTCTAGAATGGCTCAGCAGATTTCCACCCTATTGACCTCCTTCCTGATCCACTCTTGGCTTCCTTGATGCCTCATTCTCTGCAATTATCCGACAACATAACCTGAAAGAACACAACGAAGAGAATGAGGTGCTTAGAAAATTGAGGGGGACGTGGAGGAGCAGGTTCTTGATTAGGCTCCCCAGGAATGACTCCAGGGCAGGACTGAACTGCCCCACCTGGGCAGCTGCTGCCTCTGAGGCTGTACCTTTTGCCTCTGACCCGGGGATTGGGAAGCTGGATCCAAGAAGGGGGGCCACTGCTTCTGCTGACCTGCAACAACTGATGGTCTCTTGAGATCCAGGAAGTCAGTAAATGGAGGCTGGAATGCTGATGCAGAAAACCTCAAGTCTTGGGGCGTTTGTCTCAGCAGAGAAACAGCCAGAGGCTGCAGAAAGCTGGCCTTGGTCTCATGTCTAACTTTTAAGTCTCGTCTGAGTGTATCTCACTACTCAAACTTATTTTAAGAACAGAATAATAGCTGCAAAGGAGAAGGTTCATGTTTGTCTCTTCTGTTTGAATATAGCCCTACAGGAGCAGCGACCATGTCTACTGGCTCACCACTATACCACCAGCACTTACCACGATGCCAGGCACACAGCCATAATTTAACATTTAGCATATATAAGGTGACAATGCTGGATCCAGGCATTACCCTAAGCTCTTCGTGTGCATTAACTCATTTAATTCTCACAACAAACCTCAGATGTAGGTATTATTACCCTCCCCAGTTTACAGATGTGGAGCAGGCATAGAGAGGTGGAGTAAGCTGCTAAGACCATACAATGGTAAACAGGACTTAAACCCAGCAGTTCAGACCCAAGGCCAGTACTCTTATTCTGTATGCTTTACTGCCTCAGTGTTTATTGCAAGTGCGCCCATTTAAATGTTTACTGAGTTGTATTACACAGAGGCCTGATCACATACAAATTCATAATTACATAGTACTTTTATAAAGTAAAGTTTAACATGTTTAACTAAGGAGAAGATGGTTATACTCTGTTACCATTTGTACTGGTACCTTTTTTTTTATCCTTGCCAAACCTGTGAGATAATCTGTCCAAAGGTGAATACCACTACTGATTCAAGTAGATTGAAGTAATATTCAAGGACTTCATACTCCTTGGACTCATAAAAACTTCTTAGTAGCTAGAGAAATATGTTTGAGTGTGTGTGTGTGTGTATATATCTATATAATTGTATACATATATAGTATACATATTGTATACATTATACATAGGTATAATTGTATACACATATGTAACCGTATACACATATGTATATATGTATAGTTGTATATATGTAATATATACATAAGTATACATACAATTGAGTATGCATATGCATGTATATATGTATTCTGTATATATATTTGCCAATACTTTAAGAGAACTTTATGTGTTACATTAATCAACGTAAGAGCAAACAGTAAACATTAGGCTCCACCTTTCTCCATTCCTAACTTAAATGTTAAACAACACACAGATCAATCACATTTTAATTTGTCTTAATCACTTTCAGCTGTCATTGCATTAGGGCTTTGGGAAAAGCAAAAATGCACAGGATGGAAAACTGGGCAACTCCCCTTCTCAAGTTCAGCTCTGTTACTGTCGTGAGATGCTCTCACCTGCGTTTTCATTCCCATATTTGACAGTAGAAGTACAACTTGCTGTTATTTGGTAGTTCTGAGAAGGGTGTGATGATGTCTGTAAAGCTCTTTGAACTGCTAGAAGATGTTAACAAACACCAAAGCAGAAGCCTCTTAAATAGTGAACCGTTCAGTGAGGGATAGGATGATTCAGGACAACTCTGAGTCATTATCAATGCGGTGCCCTAAAACAGGAACAGAGGAATCATTCCAAAGACGCTTCAGGTATTCTTAGATGACCAGATATTTAAATTCTCATGGAGGTTTAAGGCCATATGATATCTGAAGTTAACATCGAGACGACAAAGACAGTCGATTTCAAAGGTCGTGGCTTAAAATAGGCCCCGGCTTCTTCATCAGGCCGGAAAACCGGAGCATACGCACTTCAGCCTTCCCATGGAATTTAGGGCGAACGCGAGCCGCCGGCCCCCGGGGAGTGCCCGGGAACCTCCGCAGCACGCGGTCCCGGGTCGGAGCAGCCAGTTCAGCGCAGGCGAACCTGCCCGCGGACAGCAGCGCTCGCGCAGGGAAAACCCGGCGTCTGTGGCCGCCGAAGGGCCGTGGGAGACCCCGTCCCACGCAGTGGTCGTCAGCCTCCCTTGACAAACGCCCAGTTGCGATATTCTCCTTTGACGATGACTGAAATCTCAAGATAAATTTCGGGAATGAGAATAAATCCGAGGAAAGGAGAAGCCAGGACGCACTTTTCGAACGAGGCTCTCGCCGCTTGGGCTGCGAGCCCGTCCGCGGTAGCGTCCGCCGCGGGCGCCGCCTCAGGACCTGGCCCCGCACGGGCGCGGCTGCCCGGAGCGCGCGGGTCAAGGCGGCCCTCGAGCCCACGCTCATTCCGGACCAGCGCGGCGCCTCCTCGGGACTCCGGTTCCGGCAGCACCTCAGGCTCGTTCTGGGCACACCCGCCGCCACACCTTCGCTCCCAGGGCTCTCCTCCCTTGCTCAGCTTGGCCATCCGCCGGAACTCACTTCCAACACGACAGGGGAAGGCCGTCTCGGCTTGCGTCCGTCACCCGACGAAGCCGAAGACCAGGCGCCCGCAACCCAACGCTGTGGGTGCGCACCCCCACTTGCAGCTGGGTAAGGGCGCTTCCCCGACGGCCGCGGCTCCTCCCCGACGGCTTCCCCGACGGCCGCGGCTTCCTGACCCGGGGGAGCTTCCTCCGTCGGCTCCGCATCGCTGGATGCAATTCGGGAAGCGGCAGAGGTTCCGCTGGAAAACGACGGAGAATGTAGAGGGATGGGTGGACTTAGAAGTTTCAGAAATCTTGGTTTTATATTTCTAGGCGGGGGACCTCAGGTCAGTTCTCAAAAGTTTTTTTGAATTCTTTTTAAATTTTTTTTTTTTTTTTTTTCAGCGCAGACGAGACGCTGAGAGCCAAAAACGGCTGTCAGCCGGCCCACCCCGGCGCCTCCAACGGACCTCATTACCCTTCCCGCCCACCAACAGCCAGTACTACAATTCCCGGCAGGCATCGCGCAGTGCCGCAAAAAGACCGGGCCCCAGCGGCATGCTGGGAGTTGTAGTGAGTGAGCCTGACTGCTTTTCCCTTCTATTAAGCATTCCCACTTGGAAGACAGTAATGCGCGGCTGACAGCCGGTTCTCCAGCTTCGCCGTCGGAACTAAACGTGACCAAGGACTGCGCCCTTCCGCCCCGCGGTGCACACCGCGTCGCTGCCACGGGGCTTCGCTCCGCCCTCCATCCACACCCGTTCCCTTGACGGTTCAAGCTCCGAGCGGCCGCGAGGCCCCGAGCGCGCAGGCGCACTGGCCGGCGCCGCGCAGGGCAGGACTGGAGGGCGGGACGGGCGCTAGGGGCTCCCGGCCGCCGGGGCGCGCACGTAAGCACGCAGAGGCCGTCACGTGGGGTGCCGAGGATCGCAGTGCGCGTGGCCGCGGCGGCTGGTGTGGGGTTGAGTCAGTTGTGAGATCCGGAGCTGCTGACCCAGCGGGCGGCCCAGGGGTCCGGCCACAGAGCGGCAGGCGTCGGGGGTTCGGGCGCCGTGAGCTGGCCCCATCGTAGAGCTCGGCCGAGCCGCCGCCGCCGCCGCCGCCGCCCCCGCCCCCCGCCCCCAGCCAGCAAACCGCCGCCGCGGGCGCGCCCCCGCTCTGCGCTGTCTCTCCGATGGCGTCCGCCTCCGGGGCCATGGCGAAGCACGAGCAGATCCTGGTCCTCGACCCGCCCACCGACCTCAAATTCAAAGGTAGGCAGGGAGAGGGCAGCTGTCCGGGGTGGGGCGGGCGGGCGGGCGGCGTGCGGGGGGCTGGTGGGGGGTCGAGGGAAGGTCGGCGGCCGGCCGCGAGGGAGCGTCCCCTCCCCCACGCCCCGCACTTTCCTTTCTCGGCTGCGCCCGCTCCGGCCCTCGGCCTCGGGCCCCGCGCCCGGCCCGCGCCGGCCCGCGCCCGCCCGCGCCGGCCCGCGCCCGCTCGCGTCTCCCTGCGCGCGCCGGCCGGGGCGAGGCGGAGGGGCCCGGCCCGGCCCGGCCCTGCCGCCGCCGCCGCCGCCGCCGCCATCTTGCGGTCCCGCGGGGGCGCCTCCCGGGGGCTGCCCGCGCCGCTGGCCGCGCGGGGCTGCGTCCTTGGCCCCCGCGGCCCGTCGGGCGTCGTCTGCGAGGGGGCGGGTGGGCGGTGAGCCTTGAGCGTGCGCTGGGTCCGCTGCGGGCGCGCGGGGGCCCCGGGGGCGGCGCCGGCTGTCAGCGGCGGTGGGAGGCCGGGTGAGGCGGCTGTGCGGCGGCCCGGGACGCGGGTCCGGGAGCAGCGCTGGGTGGAGCCGGCCCCGGGCCCCGCGCCCCCCGCCCCGCGCCCCCCGCGCCCCGCGCCCCCCGCGCCCCGCGCCCCCCGCGCCCCGCGCAGGGGCTGCCGCCCACCGTGTCCCTGGTAGGGGATGGGGAGGCGGAGAAGCCCACGGAGGCCTCCAGTTAGGACCGACCCGGCGGAGCTGGCCGAGACCCAAGCGCGTGCGGGCAGGAAAGCTCTGCGTCAGCCGGCGGACGGGGAGTAGTAGGTGAATAGTAGACGTCTTCCTGGTTCTCCGGGATGACTTTTGGGCTCTCCTTCCGCGCGGGCCCACCGGCTGGGGGCTCTTGCTCAGCTTTTCTTCAGCTTAGCTCTTGTGCTGCCGACGCTTCAGGGTGGCGGGCTCTGCCTTTAGGTTTCTGGCTTATGGGGAGGCTGCTCAGGTGTCCCTCGGCTCCGGAGCGCCCTGGATGGACTTTGTAGCGATGCCTGTGATAAAGCAGGGGTCCGATTGGTGATCCCCGAGGAATACGAGACGGCTCTTTGGCCCCTGTGGTGTTCAGAGTGTAGGGTGCTTCAGGGAAGAGAGTTACACTGGTTTCTTTTTAGGATTGCCGAAAGCCTGGGGAGTTCCAACAGGGAAAGCAGATTCCTTCCCGTCTTCGTTTAACGTGTGAAGTGAACCGCCTTTTGGAAGATTCGTGATCTCGTTTCGGCGGCTCCGAGGAGGGCAGTGTTTGCGAAGTGTGTGGCCATTCCAGTGCTTACAACAAGTTAAATCCTTTATTGCTGTACAAGATTGAGTCCAAAGGAAAAGCAGGCGCTTTCCATAGACAACGTTTTGAAGAGTTTTAGAAATTTTAAGATAATTGTTTCCTGGTATTTATGAGAGTAGTATATAGTTCCTTTGTTTTGCAGGCTTTTTTAGTACATTTGCAGGTTTCTTTGAATTGGGAATGTGAGCTGCTTGTTCAGTAAGGATTTGGTTTTAAGACAACTCCAATAATTTGAGGGGCACTGAGTGTATCCTACCGGAACAAGTTGACGTGTGTGGCGTTTCACATGGCTTTAGCTGAAAGGAAAAAGCACCTTTGGGGAATCATGAAATTTCCTTACTTAGATTATTTTTGATTGGAGGGATTTATTGTAACCTCTGTAATGGTGTGTGTGCTTTTGAGAAGTTAAAAGAATCTTTTCTTTTACTTTTTGACAGGCTGAGTTTACAGAGGAAATTTCCTCTGCTGGATGTCCGTGTGTGTATTACCTTTAGGGACTTTAGAAGCCTTTGCAACCGGCTTTAGGCCAGAAAATGTGCGCAGAATTTGAAGCTTTCTCCCTAGAGAAGTTGTGATGTTGCCATAGTAAGAGACTAATAATAGTGGAGAAGCAAGCTAAAAAAACAACTCAGAACCCGTACAATAACGTTCATATATTACACTTATTTTAGGTACTGAAGAGTTATTAGTCATGATTATAGAACAGGTTTTTCTTGTGTTATGAATGAAAATAATTCACAGTGACCATTTTTAAAAGTTTGGATATCAGTGACCACTTTTTTAAAGTTGAGTTTTAAAAATGTATTTCACTGAAAAGTTTATGAAGACATATTCGGTTGGGCCACTTAGTGAACACTTACTGAAAGCTTTGTGCCATCCCTATACTTAATTAATAGTATTCGACTGAGTAATTCAACAGTTATCAGTTTATATTTGGGGATTCAGTACTAAACAAGGTGGGAAAAGGTGTACAGTTTGTAGTTTAATAGAGAAAGCGTCCAGTAAAACAGTGAAACGTGTTAGGTTTTTTCTTTGTCCTTGAAGAACTCAGACTTGTGAGGGGAGACCAAAGGCACATAGGTGCTATAACAGAGGCAGGACTGGTATGAAGAAACCCCCAGGTTTCTTGGAAGAGGCTTATTTTCATTTGGGTGGTGGGGGAAAAGGGATGGGCAAGGGAGTGGTTGTTTATTCAACCACTGATGTAAGAGAATGTGTGGCTTATTTATTTATTTATTTATTTTCTCTCTTAAAGCAGACTCCATGCATGAGCCCGATGTGGGACTCGATCCCGGGACTCCAGGATCAGCCCCGGGCCAAAGGCAGGTGCTAAACCGCTGCGCCACCCAGGGATCCCCGAGAACGTGTGGCTTATACTTAGTGGTTTGAACTGTGCTTCTGTTCCAGGGTGGGATAATGGGGAGGATTGGGGAATAGGAGGGGTAGGGTGAATTAGGAGAGATGACCTTTGATGTCACTTGATTCCCTTCTTCTTAATGTTATTTTTCTAGTCAAAGGTAAATAATTTGCTTTGATGGAAACCTCTCCGTATTCCAAAGCACAGTTCAACACTAAGTGAGGAGACTTATTTAGAATCCACAGTCTCCTTATCCTTAGTTTGATGATGATGTATATAGTCATTTCATTCTGACTTGCCCTAAATCATCTGTAGTTTTTAGTTAAGTGTGTTAAAGGATAGTTTGCTAAATTCTTTATCTTTTTTTGTAGGCTTATTTGAATTGTTTTGAACTCTACACTTGACAGAGATCAGAGATCGTTTCTCCAAGAGTGACTCATTTAATCATTTTGAGAATAGGTGGTGAATTTTTCTGTCATATGCATAACAATCATCTTGATAGGAATTATCAGCACTTTGCACAATTACGGAGAAACAGATACCCGTTTAATACATTTTCTAATACCTCTATTTTATTAAAAATTTTGCTTTATACAGTTGTTAACCTATGAAGGTGCTTTTATAATGGTGTAATGAATTCTAAGGTAGCTCTTTTGTCGCATTAGTAAAGAAAAAGAGGTAGGTATTACCAAATTTTGTTTAAACACTGTCAGTAATTTGACCTAGAATTCAGATTTGAAATTTGGTATTATATCTGAGAGATGGTTTCTTTGTGCTGTTATAGTTTTACTATTACAACATTTTTTTCCATTGTATTATGTGTTTTATTTTTCCTGCCTACTGGTGGTTATGGAGAAAAGTTGGAAGAAGGAAATTTAGAAAATGCTAAAATAAAATGTGAATGTATTCTTCCTCCTAGTAATCAGAGAAAGGAAAATAGACCAGAACCATTCTGTTAAAGGTGGCCCATAACAAAATCAAGCCAATAAAGAAAATTAAGCTCCCTGAGGAACCAAGAAACCTGTGATGTCAGCCAGAACATTTTGAATAGCAACATAATACTGAGAAGTACAAGTGAGGATGTAGAGTTCTTCTACTCTTGGTAGATATTTGGCATATTTTTAGGTCTTTCAGATCAGCTCCTATTTCACAGTGGCTTCATCGGATCCCTAGGGTGATTTCCCCCTTCTCCGGGCCACAGATGACATCTTATTACTCCATTCCTTAAAAGCTCTCAAGTAGCTCTTGATTGCCCACTGGATCCAAATATATTGGATCAAGAATAAAAAATATATAAATATAAATCTATATATATGTATTTAGTGTGGTATTTAAGGTCTTCCATGATGTGTTGTCTTCTCTTGTTGCATCTTTACACATCTATACTCCACTCCCCACCACCACCACCCCCACCCAAGAAAGAAAAACCCTTCTCCTATCCAAGCTTGTTTGTTCTGCTGTTTTTGTTGGTTAAGGTAAAATCCCTCATGACTCATACTTAGACCATGTTCCCTCAGATATTTTCCCTCTCATGTTTTCAACCACCGGCTTCTTCCTTTAAACATACAAGTACACATAAGTCTTTCATTGTAGAAGCAAATAAGCAAACAAAGTACTTGACTCCCAACTCCTTCTGGTATATGTCCCTCCCTGCCCCTCATTTCTTTTGCATTCAGACTTACTGGAAAAATTGTCCGTGTGCACTGTCCAGTTTCTCACCTCTTGTCCCCCGTAGTATTCTGTCCTCATTGCTTATTGCTTGCTGATCGCATCGATCATTTCCAATTCATATCTCTGTGGCACTTTACATTAAAAACAGTTCCTCTTTTTAAAAACAATTCTTTTGACTTCTATGTAATTGTCTTCTAATTTTC